ATTGCGAGTTCGGGGGTTCGAGCCTCAGCTCGGTCCGACGTTGTGTCCTTGGGAAAGGCACTTTACACGAACTTCCCACTTGGCTCGGTCCTATCGGAGACGGACGTTAAACTAGGAGGTCCCGCCCTTTAAATAACCTTATAGTGTTGATAGGGGCGTTAAATATATACCATTTCACCATTTCACCGGACACAGTGGGCAGATGGCTACCTCAGAATTACAAAGTTCTATCTTCTCAATAAAAGAATAAAAAGAAATGGAATGAGGTAGTGCTCGGTGTAGCCTAAGTAGGACGTTCACTGTTAAAAACAATCAGGAAACGACAAATGCCGTTTTTTGGGACACCTGAATAGACATAAGGGTCTTGAACATCTATCTTTCACTTGTAAAATTGAAGGCAAACGAGGCAGGGGTAGGCCCAAAGCAACCTACTTAGGGAACCTAAACAAATGGGTAACGGGGAATATCAGCGAAACGTAGCTTGTTTAATAGCATCTGAGCAAAGGAAGGAATGGAGAACCATGATCGCTGCCGATGTCTGTTGCAGATTGAGGCACTGGATGATGATCTGCTCAATTCCTAGTTTTGAAGAAATTTTACGTCAAAGATTTTGAATTTCCCAACATATCAAGCTTTTTCGAATGCAACTCTTTGAATATCTTGATAACGACTCCGAAAAATCTTGCGATTTTGATAGGGCAGAAAAAACGTTTGGTTTCTGAACTTAAGGTCTTGGTAACTCAGAAGGACCAAAAATGTCGATAGAACTTTGTATCTTTTTAAAAAGAATCGTTCTTGCATCTATTATGAAAAAATCTTTTTTTCGACTAATTTATCATGTGCGCAACCATCAGGTTCAAATGACTTCTACCTTGTGACCTTGACCTTTCAGGAAAAGAATGTCAGCTTCCTCTTGTCTGGACCACCAGTGGCTTAGGGTAAGTTTCTCATCATCATCATGATCATCACCATCATCAGCATCATCATCATCATCATCATCATCATCATCATCATCATCATCATCATCATCAACAACAACAACAACAACGACAACAACAACAACAACAACAACAACAACATCACCACCAACAACAACAACAACAACAAATTAGAATGAAGAAACAAATGGACGAAAACAGAATGTATTCTTCATGTGTGTCTATCATTACCAGAACCATTGAGTTGTCTGTGTGTCCGTACATTATGGTCCAACCAAATCTGAAAGCTGGGGGGGAGGGGGGGTCGGTGGCGATAGATAGATAGATAGATAGATAGATAGATAGATAGATAGATAGATAGATAGATAGATAGATAGATAGATAGATAGATA